CACCAAACTACAGTCCCTCCCTAGCCTCCTGTAACCATACTGTCATCAGAAGGGTCAGAGTTTGCTTGGCACCTGCCACTGACATATCGATTTTCCAGATTTTAATTTTAAACCCCAGAGTGATCTATTGACCTGCGTCTTTGACTGTTATAATTGGTTAATTTGTAAGGTTTGATATCTGATATTTGCTAACATTTTATAGGGAGTAGTATTTGTAATGGAAGAAGAGAAGAATATTATTCCACTCCTAGTAGAGTAAAATATGTTTTGGGAGAGTGTATCATGGTGTACTATCATTTAAATATACCTGGAATCAACTTGGTACAGGTCAGGACCTCCTAGGCCTGCTTTTTGCACGATTCACTTTGTTTTATACAATCCTGGAAGCCCAGCCTTCAGTCATCCCCACTAACAGTCTCTAGTGAGTCTTAAAATGTATGCAACCTCCTGAGTAAGAACTCTTAAATACTGATTGTGGTGTTACCTGTTTTTAGGGTTCTTGACTTTGCACCCAGCAGACCAAAGGACGATGGCAACGTGAGGTAGATGCAAGGCTAGTCATGCCTGATTTGTGCTGAACCCCAGACAGGAAGTTGTGAGGGACTGTCACCAACATTTACCCACCAGTGTTTCTGAAGCTTTTTTCTATTTTCTTTAACTTTTGTCAATGTAAGCAGAATAGAAAACTTACCATAGCTATTCCCATTTTATAGGGGAAAAAGAAATTGGGGATAACAAAGATTTGAAGAGGAATAAAATAGTAGTCAAAATGGTAACATGGCAGCAGTTATGTAAAAACAAAAGGGTTGGTAAGTAAAGCCAACGTTCCTTAATACAAGAGCAGCAACTCACAGCCAACTCAGGATAAGCCTGATGAAGTCCTTATCACTGACAGACTTTCCTGAGAACTGGAAATTGCAACTGTTTGCGTATGTGAGGACACAGAAGGGCTGTGCAACATTGCCAAAGGCTGAATGGTATCTGAGAAAACACCAGTTATCTGGTAATTTCAGATTACAAATGCCAACGTTTATAATGCTTTGTAGGCCATTAGTAAGTACCACTCAGTGATAAGTAAAAATGGAAGTCAGTAGCATTGCTTTGAAGATGGTCTTTTTTTACATGAGTTTGTAGCCTGTCTCAGGATGCTTTTGGTTTGTTGCTTTACACAGCTCAGTCTAACAGATGAAAGGTTGAAAGAGGAGAGGAACAGGGGCAGCTGAAACATAACAATAGTAATTTCCAAGAAGCTTCTGGGAAGCTCTCCATGTATTACCATGCAATGTTTCCCTGCCCCTACCTCATGCCATAGAGTTAGATGAGAGATCGAGGAAATGGAAACTGCCTTAGACTCCCCCATACATCTTCCTTTCCTCACCTCTCTGTCATCTCAAGATGTCTCTATCACCTCACTCATTGCCACATCCCCGACCCAACTCATTCTCACAGTCTGGCCAGAGCCCAGCTTTGCTCAGGGGTCTCCCAGTCCTATCTCCTTCAAGAAGACTTCCCTGCTCACTGTGAATAATCCCTTAAGGGTGAATAAGACCTATGATTTACAATTACTCATCATCTCCTGAAATCCCAAGCTAGAAAGTGACATACGCAGGACTCAGACCCCATACTCTCCAGTGTCAAGCATGAGCAGGTTTCCACTACACGCACTGTGCATGTGGCTGAGCTGGGACTCTGCCCTGTTCTAGACTCCAGCCTGGAGCAACTGCTCTCACAGCTGCTCCGTGGGCTGTTCTGCAGAAAAATGAAGCTCCCTGGATGACCTCTGCCTCGTGCTCACTGCCAGCTCCTTCACTCATGACAGATTTCGTGCTTTGACTTTAAACATTGGCACTTAACTTTCTGTATTAAGTTACAAATATTTTTAAGGGCTAGCATATTATTTTAAAATCCAAACAATATTGATAGAGTGGAGAAAAGTATCTCCCTACTGCCATCTCCTGATCTCAGTTCCACTCTGCAAATGTAACTACTATTAACTGTTTAGTGAAGATGTTTTTTCAGACTTTCTCCATATGTGCATAAATGTGTGTGTTTGGGAAGTTCTTCTGACATCTCAGAGTTCTGTAATCTAGGCCTCTTTTTCCCAAATCATTGTCCATTCCACATTACAAGCTGCAAAACGATCAGATAAATGTATTTTTAAATTAATCTACACAGGACCTGACCAAAGAGACACCTATTCTTGGATTGACAGGAGCACTTGTGTTGGAGACAGGGGTGGGAGATAGGAGCCCTCCAGAGAGGCCTTGAGGTCACCAAGTGGGAAGAGCACATGAGTTCGGGGAAAGACCGCATGCTTCATAAGCTTACCAGCAAGTGGCCAGACCTGCCAGGGTGTGTGCACTCCCCAGACTGCACAATCACTCCTGTGTGCATTGTCCAGTGGCCGAGGGGCGGGCAGAAAAGGGGAGGGGAGGCACAAGGGTGGAATGTGGGTTGGGCCAAGTTTAGAGTTACAAGTGCCGCAGAGGTGTTCTGGAACCACACTTAAATAGACAGCACCTTCCCCTTCCGCCTTAGATAATTCTTCTCCCCTGACTGGACCTCTGGCAGAAACTTCAACTAAGGTTCGAAATGTTTTCTTCTCTTTTTTTCTTCTGTTTCTGGGTCTCAGACTGCAGGTTGGTGGGGTCCATAGGACATACAACCAAATAATGTTTTTTAAATCCTCTCCTAGAAAATATGCTTCTGACATTTATGTGTGCAAATGCAAAGACTGTATGCTATTTTGTTGAGTCTGAAACTTGGATGGCTATTGACTTAAGGGACAATGTGATTTGGAAAAAGAGAGTCCTAAGTTGAGAGGAAAGACCATTGGATTTAACTCCCAGAAAACAAAGTCTTTCTTCTCTGAGAAATGAGACAATGATCAACTCTTTGACAGGACTGAAAGAAAATGAAAATTTGAGTACCTGTTATTCTATTAAGTGCATATGTATATATATATATATGTACGTTTCCTCATTTAATTCTTCTATCTAAGTGCATCCTATCTATCATCTCCACTTTTACAGATGAGCAAACTAAGGCTCAGAGTCATTCATTAATTTCCCTGAAGTCAGGCATTGGTATGAGAAAAACTAAAGTTTGAACCTGGTCTCATCTGCTCTACAGCTCGTAGCCTTTCAGACACAACATGCTACCTCTGCGAAGCAGCTCTAATGAGGCTGAGGGAGCCAGAAAAGGGCTACTGTTTCTTGTAGGGTCTGGGAGGGTGGAGAAGGGAAGGCTTTCCATCACTGGGAGAGTTCCATCAGCTGGTAAAGGGAGGGGAGACCAGCACAATCAGTACCTTAGACAACCTTCTCAAAAGGACCGAGGAGCCTTCTTAGAACCAGTTACTTGGATTTCTCCTTTGTAGTCCGCAATCTTTGGAGCTCATTCCCTAATTTATCAAATAAAAATAGATGCCTGCTGTTCCCTGACTTTCTAACTTTCTGAGTCAGAGCCACAGGAGAGTCTGTGGCAATAAGAAGTTACTGCTGAGAAAGTTCTGTTAACATGAATTTTACTTGAGGCTTAGAAAAAAGTCCATCTGCCTGCTTCTCCAGAAGAGGGGCCACTGTGCAAAATCAAGGCAGAGTCATTAGAAGATGCTTAGAGTAGACACACCAGTGAAACTAGGCAGCCAATGTAGTCAAAGGGATGGAACTGAAAGAGCAGGGGCAGAGTGGGTGGAAGTCCTGGCTGTGCAATTTACTAGCTACATGGCAGCAGCTGTCACGTTATTTAACCTCTCTGAGCTGCAACCTCCTTATTTATAAAGTGGAGGTAATAATGCTTACATCTCAGGGCTGTAGTGAGAATGCAATGAAATGAATGTATGTGAAGTGCCTAGCCTATAGTAGTTGCTGACTAAATGGGAGCCACATCCAGCCATCCTCACTCCCAGTAGTGGCCTGGAATGGGCCATTTCTGACAGTGAATGGTTGAAAGTGTGACTTTTAGTTTTATGTCATCTTCTCTACTGTCACAGACTCCTGCATTTGGCATCACCAGAAAAGAAAATGAGCACATGGTTCATCCCTCCCTTGTGTCGATTTCAGAAAGACATAGAAGGAGTGCTTAGACATACCACCTCATCTTCACAATTCCTCTTTCCACTCACCCTCTCCCAATCCTTTGACAGGGTTTTTTAAAAACTGGCTTTCATTTTTATATGACAAAAGTAAAACATATTCTTTGATGTAAATGTAGAAAATATAGATAAGGAAATGTTCCTATAATCCAGCTGCTGAAAGAGAAACATTTTGATGGACATCCCAATTGTTCTGTGCCTATAAATACTTTATAAAATATTTGTCAAGTATAATCATACTGTATGTACTGCTTTTAGTATATATTGTGAACCTCCTTTTGTGTTGAATACCTGTTTCTGTAACACAGGTTTTAATGATTGTATGTCCATTATGTGACCGTGCCATAATTTATCAACATACCTGTCATTTTTGACCATTTATGTACTTTCTGATTTTTTGCTGTTACAAACAGTAAATATCCTAATGCTACACCTTTTACTCACAGTCACAGTTATTTCCTTAGGGTAAATTCCTGCAAGGGAAATTGGTGGCTTTGAGGATATGTAATGTCCCATCCTTTCAACGTTCCCCAGCATATAGTGAAGAGACTGAAGCACATGCAAATCCCGACAAGGCTGACCACAGGGCAGCAGGGAGAACTTAGACAGCACAGGGGCCACAAATCTCAACCCAAGAGGGTCTTATATGGAAGTGAAGGCTGTCCTTCAGTACCAACCCTTTCTTCCTGAAACAGGAAAGGAATATATATTCTCAGTAGCAGCTGTCACCCAGCTTTACCAGTGAGAGATGCTAAGGGGGGCCTGGATCTACAGGGAAGCGAGTGGAAATTCACCTCTTCCAGCGCATTCATTCCCTTATGGATTTGTTGGTAAAAGGAGGAGGAGGGCTTTCCTTCTGGGGTTCCCACCAGTAACCAAGCATCCCATTTGTTTTCCAGGTGGGATGGATGGCAGGGTCTCAGACACAACCAGTAATGGAGAGACAAAACCAGCGTATCCAGTCATGGAAAAGAAGGAGGAAGATGGCACCCTGGAGCGGGGGCACTGGAACAACATGATGGAGTTTGTGCTGTCAGTGGCTGGGGAGATCATTGGCCCAGGCAACGTCTGGAGGTTTCCCTATGCTACAAAAATGGCGGAGGTGAGAGCCCTCGTGCCATGTCACCCACCCCTGGAAGGATGATACTTTCTTCTCCTGCTCTTTCGGCCCCTCTGGGAGTTCCACAGATGTATAGAGGAGTTAGAAGAACCCTAGAGGTCATTAAGGACTCTCTGTAAGAGACTAAGACCTAGAGAGGTTACATGAGTAGCCCAGGGCTCTTTCTGTTTTAACGTGGCATCGTAGAGATGTGAGCACAAGCTGGGATGAGGGGGAAGAGAGTTTGGACTCTGGCTGTGCTACTCACACTCTGTGGTCTTGGACAAGTTACTTCAGCTCTCAGAGCATCAGTGGCCGCCCCTGCAAGTTGAGATAATAATGCCTGCCTTTCAAGGTTGTTGTAAGAGTTAGAGATAATGTGTGTAAAGAACTTAATAAATAGTGGTTTGTTGATGATGATGGTTGATACCAAACTGTTCCATGGTCTTAAGATTCCTCAGCCTTAGCCTGTGTCTTTTTCCTACTCTGCTGGCACGGTGAGGTTCCCTGAGCCATCCATCACCCAACTGCTCTAGTGTAGGCCCCCGTTTTAAACAATTTCCCAGTACAAATGTGTGCATGTTGTGGGCGGAGCATTACCTCCAGCTCTTTACTATGCCATCATTGGCTTCTCATTTCCCTCTCTTCCAGCCCCCTTGGGTAACTCTGCTATCCCCACACCAGTGACAGAAATTTTGCAACCACTAACCCACATTCAGGGAATTTTGTATCTCCATGGGAAGACCCAGAGTGGTTTCCCAAATACTGGAGGATTCTGGGTGGCCAGCGGGTTAGGAATATCCCCTTGCTGATGTGTAAAGCTTATGGGGTTGGGGCTCCCAGGTCTGATTATATAGTGAGACTGCATGGGGCCTGGAGGAACGTGGAACACGGAGGTTGGTGACCAGGGAAAATGATGAGAGGAGTGGCAAGTTCATGGGCCACAGGACTTGAAGTCTTTTAATGCAACACCTAAGCTTTTACAGGTGAGTAGGAGCTGCCGAATGCATGCAGCTTCAGTCTCACCATGATTTTGGAGACAGAAAGCCTTCAATACAGAGTGGAGGAGTTGGGGCTGGGGGAGAACACAAGAGAGATGCCCTGGGCCCATGGAGTCTGGGTCCCAGGTCTGTGGCTATTGGGGATTGGCCCTGGGTTGGAGGTTAACTTTAATGTTTCCAGAAGGATGGGAATGGGCTGATGTGTCCCTTTTTCCTAGGAATTTCTGGCTGGTGGCCTGAAATCACAGGACTTTGCCCAGTTTGCACTGTGAGGGAAGAGAGAAGGACTACCCACTTTTTATCTAGTGCTGGATGCTCCATATGCTTGTTTAGGAATTTAGGCCTGAGCACCCTCTCTTTAGAGAATCAGGAGAGGCAGAGCCGGCCCAGGGCAAAAGCAGGAGACTTGGGAACTAAGCTGGCATTTGGACTCTGGGTCTGGAACCTGGTAACCAGCTTAGCTCCTCACGTGGTAGAGAGATGAGGAGGCGGGCAGCTTTCCCCAAGCCTCTCTGGAATTGGGTAAAGGCTGGCCTGGGAACTAGCAGGAATGGCACGACGAGGTGGGAGCGAGTGCCTTCCAGGTCTAATGCAAACCACTGGCTGGCAGGGGAAAGTGGAGGGGAGCAGTGACTGGAGTACAGGGGACAAGGGGCTCTCCCCAGTCCTTTGTCTGGCAATGTTTGGGTCCCAGGGCACTTTGGTGAGTCTGTGTGGGCCTGGGAATGTGTTGACTGTGTCTTGTGTATGAAAAGGGCACTCATGGCCCTTGGTTGTTCATGTGGGTCCTGTGTGGGGAGGTGGAGGCAGCAGGGTGGTGGAGACAGCAGGGTGGCAGCTGTGGCCTCCTTCTCCATGGGTAGAGCTTGCCTTCCAGCATGCTAATTCCAGTGGAGGGTCCTGACAGGTTTGGGAGTCCTGCCATCCAGTCAAGTTCTCTTTGTGTAACCCTTACACCACCTACCCGTGACTTCTTCCCTTATCAAGTGCAGGGCCTGTGCACTCCTCTTCCCTGTTCGCGGACAGATGACAGCATCTGGAGAGGAGTGTTCTGAGGGACTGGGGAGCTGCAGGCAGGGGCCCAGGTTTGCTCTGGAGGACATGAGTCACCCAGGGCCACCGGCTGGGTTAGTCACCCAGGGCCACTGGCTGCGTTAGTGAAACAGCTCCTCTGCAGAGGGAAGTGGGCTGATGAAGGGTGTGTGTGGTGAGTAGAGGATCCTAGACCTGCCTATTTCTATGTTTTTTTTTTTCTTTCGTTCCCAGCAGTTTAACTTTTCTGTCATCAGTTAACTCCACTCACCTCCCAGGCAAAGCAAACTCCTACAGAGAATGGGCCCTTAAACTTCATCTTGTCATCTTCCTGTCTCTTTGCCTCTTCCTGAGAGAATCCTTTGCTGCTGATGTGGGAAGAAGGCTGGGGAGAATGGGGACCCTGTAGATTGCTTCCACCCCTTTCCTCCTGCTTTGGTGCTTTTATCTGAACTCACTATTCTCAGATTAGGGCCTGGGCTCCTGGGCATGGGAAGAGTGTTCTGAGCAAGCCCTGGAGAGGATGCTGGGGTACTCCAGGGTGTGCTGTTCTCCGGTAATGTATCCTGTTCTGGGCCCTTTCTTTAAATTCACAGCTCCAAGTAGCCGGTTTTGTGCTTGGTGGAAAGGGGGAGGTAATCAAGGAATTTGACAGTAGCAGTATTTGTTTAGTGAGAAGCGCAGGGAGGAAGAAGTCCTCAAAGCACAATTTTAGTTCCAAACTAAAAATGTAAGTGACGTCTTCTTTGGTTTCCTCCAGCATCAACATCTGGTAGATCTAATTTGAAACAAGTTCCAGAGCAGGGAAAGGGCTGAGGCAAGGCTAAGACAGAACACAAGCAAGCAGTTGAAAACCGTAGTCAAAAGGCAGGGAAGCTGAGAAGGTGATCCAAAGAACACATCTGAAATCAGAAGCAACAGGGAGGCTTTTAGGGAGGTGAGTGAGAGGGATGCCCACCTCCATCGTCTCCTAGGTAAATAATCTCCCTGCTGCCCAGGACCTGTGGCTGGGCTGCCCCAAAGCACCTGCTTCACCCTACTGAATTTCCAGTCCTGTCGGTTGTCTCAGTGCATACCCAGCCAAGCCCTGAGCCTGACTGTATTGTTCACCCACAAATACTTACTGAGTACGTAGCATATGCCAGGAATTGTTCCAGGTGGTTGGGATACATCTAGAAACAAAACAGAGCAATTCCCTGTCCTCATAGGGCATACATTCTAGAGGAGGGAGACCAACACCAAACAGTAAATGGGATGAATAAGTAAATTAGATGGCATCCCAGAATTAGTGAGTGCTGCAGGAGAAGAAGCAGGAGACCTAGGTAAAGGGGATAGGGAATGTGGGGTGTGGGTGGTGACAGTTTTTAAAAGGGTGGCCATTGAGAGCATTTGAGCAAAGCCTTGCCAGGAGTGAGAGGATTGGCCATGTGACTGTTGTGGCGGGGGGAGTGCTTTTCTATAGGCAGAGGAAATGTAGGTTTAAACAAACCATGAGATGTGCAGGACCCAATCACTTCTCAGCTCCTCCACTGCTACCACCCATCTAAACAAATTAAGAGTTTTCACCTGAGAGCCTGGAAAGAAGGAGTTGCCATTCATTGAGATGTGGAAGCCATGAGAAGCCACGAGGGTTTTGTTGTGGTTGTTGTTTTATTATTTTTATACAGAGACTGGGTTTCACTGTGTTGGCCAGGCTGGTCTCAAACTCTTGGCCTCAAGTGATTTGCCCACCTCAGCCTCCGAAAGGCACAGGCATGAGCCACTGTGCCTAGCCCCAGAGGAGGAGGTTTTGAAGGGAAAATAAGGGGTGAATTTTGGGAATGTTGAGCTGAGGTGTTGCTTCTTCAGAAACTACCCACCCCCCCCCAGGCAAACCCCAGGCCCAGCCTCCCACAGCTGCTCACGTCTGTGCATGGGAAAACGTGCAGAGAAAGGAGGAAGGGTGTCAGTACCCTCAACCCAAGCTATGAGTTGGAAGCCTTAGGAGCCATGGTGGGCTGCTGTCCTCTCCTTGCCCCTCATGCAGCAAGCTGTATCCGTCTCAGACCCCAGCAGGGACTTTCTCTACAACACCTCAGGCCTTTGGACATGCTGTCCTGTGCCTGTAATTCTCTTTCCCCTCACCTCACCAGCTCCCAGTCAACTCTAAGATCATGGCAGAAACATCACCTCCTCCAGGCAGCCTTCCTTGACCTTCCCTGATAAGTCCAGCTGCTTTGACACACACTCATGGCACCTGCTCCAGCCCAGAGCAGCCTACAGCTTCAGTTTTGCTGGGGTATCAGGGTAGTCAGTGCATTTACAGAACTGAGAAGGCCTTTAAAGCCTTAATTTTGAAATTATTGTAAATGTTACATTCTACCATATAACAGCTATGTTTGTTTTAGGATAAAAACAATGTTTTAAAGTAATTGTTGTCTGTTAAATCGACACCTCTAGAATGAAGATACACCAGGTTTTACCTTATTGCTTCAAACCCCATCCCACCCATGCGCACTCCTAGGGTAAGAATCTTCCACTTTAAGAAGCACCATTGAAGGAATAGAAGGTGATAGCATTTGGTGGTCAGTCGGGGTCTGGTTGTAGAAGGTTTTGAACAACAATTTAGTAAGTTTAGACTTCATACTACTGTAGGCAAGCTGCAAGTCACTAAAACATTTTTAAACAGGAGTGGAATTGAGAAGTGGAATTGCAAAAGCAGTCTTGGAAATATGGAGCAGGAAGCAGTGTGAAGGGTGCTTTGGTGGGGAGAGACCAGGAGCAAGCAGCCAAGTTGGATCGTGCGGTGAACCAGGCAGGGCAGTAGGGGCTTGGGCCTCAAGAGTGGTGATAGGCATGGAGAGGACTAAGTCCATTTCCACCAGGCTCCAGATCCGGATCATGTCCCTCCGTCCTCCTCTCACTTCCACCCTGACTCCCCTGCCCCTGGCTTTCCACAGCCACGCCGTGGCACTGACCCAAGACTCTGAACGTCTGCTGGAGGTGCAGAAGTGGATTGGTGTCCTGCCTTTG